AATTCTCCAGACCCTCCCGATTAGCCACTCCGGGCCTGCCTGTTATTAATAATATCATGTTCTTTACACCAATCTCATACTTCTCCGTCTCATGTGGAGTGTTGCAAAGCAATTCCCTTTCACATCAACAGAGGGTGTAGCACTATTTTGTGGTATCCTGTCATGTATCCGGTCCAAGATAGTGTGTTTATATTGTGTTTTTTGTATATGAGACTTTTTAACATGGACAAATTTGTCTCTCATTCTCCTCCACCTCTTCATGCGCTCACCACCTCTAAACCCAGGTTTCCTGTCATTTCCATCCACAAATAAAATGCTTGCTGCGTATCTTTTCAATCCTCCAGTCACAGGGGAATTAAACGTTCATATTTTTGAGTTTTTTCACGAGGTATTCTTCAAGCTTCTCCGTGTTTGCCGCTAGTCATCCTCGGCTCTCTTTATGTTTTAGAGGGCACAATGGTGGCGGTGTAGACGACAGTGGTGTCCTGACTAATCACAAGCTTGCATTCTCCGTCTCGATGGACGGATGTTTAGAAAAGAGAGCTCAACTCCGTCCGTCCTTGCGGAGCTCTCCAGCAGGCTCGCAAGGATGGATAATGGTGTTGTGTGTCTCCGCACTGACGCAGATGAAGAAGCATGAATCAACTCCCCGCGACGCACCCACTAAGAAGCTTACTCTGATAATTGGTAGGTCTGTAGTCAGAAACATGTCATATAGTCAAATGTTTATCAAGGGCCAGAGCAGGCGAAAGTAACCCTGAAACGGCTGGCTAAAGATACGCATAAATACAGTAAGAGTTGTCTCAAGGCACTTCACAAAGTAAAACATTGCAATTGAGTAGAGTTCATTTTGCCAGTCATTTAAAAGCTTCCTATATAAGGAAACCAGCACATTGCATCAAGTCACTGACTAGTGTCAGAGTCCTTCCAGCAATCCTCATACTAAGCAAGCATGCAGCGACAGTGGAGAGGAAAACTCCCTTTTAATAGGAAGAAACCTCCAGAGGATCCTGGCTCAGAATAAGCAGCCATATGCCACGATTCACTGGGGATCGAGAAGACAGAGCACACACACACACACACACACACACACACACACACACACACACACACACACACACACACACACACACACACACACACACACACACACACACACACACACAAATAAAATCTGGAGTGGTGTAGCGGGTTCTTTAACAATGCTGACTTTCATTAAGACCAGAAAATAAGCACAGCTACAGATGTAATCTTTATGCATGCTCCAGAGAAGCGGTCCTCAACAGGCAGACCTGGCCTGTGGGCCCTTTCTTTGGGGCCCCCTAACAGCGCACTCACCCCCCGTCTGACTGTGAAGTGGGAGGGGTAGAGCGGCGATGGTATGGTGAATCCATTTTGCTGTTATATTGTAGGCTAATATATTATATTATAGGTACATATATGTATCTATAATATAGTAAACAGCCAGTTTTATATATCTCACATATATTCAAAAGCTATATCAACCTATATGTTTATATGAATTCTTTCCATGTGGGTTGTCAATTGCTTAATATTTCCCATGTTTACCCATGGTAAAGAAAGGAGATATTGTACCCGTCTATCTTTAACATAAATTTTGGCAGCTTAATGTGACGTTATGGAAAATGCCATCATCATGAGCAACCAAACATGGGCTATATTAGGCTAACAGTTGTCCATATTCTGTCCCATTTATCCACCAGTGGCTGTTTCAGTTATTGTGAGTGAAAACTAAATGGCATAGTAGCATTTGTTCTGGCATTAGAAATTGAAAATGTTTTCAATGTGTTGGCTAGATGGATATACAAAGATTTTTTTTAAGAGAGTGAGTGAGGAGCAGGAGAGAGACCAGGTGGTTGTGTCACAAACTCTTCCTCCTCCTGACCTCCTCTGCGAGCCGGGTTGGCACGGCACTCCATTTCCCAGTATTCCCGTCACCGACGCTCTCGGTGACGTCACCACACGGAATCTATATAAGGAACTGTCACCGCTGAGCTGTCATTCAGTCATCGTCTCATGACAAGCCAAACCAACCCGATCAAGATTAAGTCCCGTATCCGTCCTGGAAAGAGAACTTTCCACGCTGTCTCCACTCCATCCCGACAGCTTCCAACACAAAGGAACCGCAGTTCAGCCTCGACTCCCTGCGAGTGCTGTACCGCCGTTCCTAAGAGCAAGCTGCGTGTCCTGTTAAGACCAAACGCCAGTCACTCCGCGTCTGGGTCACACAGCCACGCTACATTTACCTCCGCCATGCTTCAGCTCAGCCCATCCACCCTGACAGGTTGATGCTGAGGAGATCTGCATGGTCAAGGTCAGTGATCTACAGAGAAAACAGGGGCGAGCACACCGTTATGAGCATTTACCTGAGCACAAAGTTCCCAAGCAAAATTGAACAGTTTTCTATTTAGGAGTGAACAGGTAAGAGACCTTGAGAAGAAAAAAAAACTATAATTATCATGTGACCTGTAACCTTATGTCAAGTTGTATTTGTATAGTTGACTTTCTGTATTATAAGTTCTACTACTTGCTGGATATTTTTATATATACTGTTATTTTGTCTTGTAATAGTGAATTACACACTCCTTTATTCCATATCATAGCAGTGTTATTCATATATTAAAACTGTCAACTGCACACTCATTTGGCAGAATAAAAGTTTGACAATTATTCATTTGTTCTTTATTGTCACATTTCAGTAACATTTATAATTAAAAAAGTTGTAATTAAACAAATTAAATAAATGACTACAACATTTCCCCCTGTTAAGTGCAGTAGACTGAAATGAATAGCTTTATTTGGAAATATAACATATCTAATTTTTAATGGACTTACATAAAATCTTTCTTCAACATAGACCCCACTAATGAACTGATTAAGTGTTATTTTTTATAAAAAGAAGAGAAAATGCACAAAGGTAGGAAAGGAAAAGAAAGTGATAAAATAATAGGTTTTATTAAATGTCCTTCAGATAATGAATTAATTGACAAAGTTTTTGCAGGGTGTGACAAAAAACGTTCAAGGTCAAGCTCCTGGGGCTAGCCCCCCCCCCCCCCCATATCTCACTCCTAGTGTCGCAAATGAATCGCCAGCAACCCCCCACCCCCGAATCAGAGCTCGTGCTTCAAGGTCATTTCATTGAGTGGCCCTCGGACCATTACATTTGAGTAACCCTGCTCTAAATAATTTTAATCTTATAGGGTTTTAAGTTTCATCTGGCAAGTCAGTTCATAACATGCTTATGACACTGAACTTTCAGTTAATAAAAAAACTAGAGGATTCAAAATTAATTATAGGGCTTATACATTTATTAAAATGTATCCTGGCAGGTTTTGCATAATCCTGCTTTGAGACACAAAGACGAAGCAACACACTGCAGTGGAACAGCCTCCTTGGTGGAGGTAATTAGTTGATAAGAACTTATTTTCACACACTTTGTTAATGTAGTCTGTTCTCCTCAGTATCAGCGCTGAGCTGCTCCAGTAAAAGCTCCGTTTATCACAAGCAAACCTGACAGTACACATTCTGTTTTGTCACAGCTTCACCGTACTCCTGCAACAAAGTAAAGCAAGGTGCAGACTGAGATGTTTCATGAATATCAAAGATGTGCAGAGTGAGGGAAGTAGTTTCATTCATTCACTGAAACATTTGAGGGGAAAAACAATGAGCTTGGGTGTCTGTGTAAACAAATGTGAGAGGCAGAAGGAGAGAGGAGCTAATGTATCGTTTGTTTGATGTTTTTATCAAAACTGACGATGGCATCAAAACACTGTTTCTTTTTGACAAGCCCTTGAGCAGATGAATAAATTGTACCTTTTGAATGGGGAGGATGCAAAAAAATCTCCCTGAGACAAAGAGAGAAGATGTGGGCAGCTCATTACTGTTGGAAATAAAAGTGTTTGTATGCTAGATGAGCGACACAGACCAAGTCTTTGAACAGGAAGTTATTCCTGTCACAGGTGCTCCTGCAAAACCCAATTAGAGCTCTAACGTCTATTGCTTGTCATCCAAGTATGAAGATGTCACAAAATACCTTTGAGCATTCATTAAAAATTAAATGAAAGCTTGAATGTAAATTGCTTTCATTGCTTCCTTTTAATCACACGTCCTACAGGATCCAGTAGAAGACCAAACAACCAAATGTTACACACACACAGCCAAAAGACAATATGAAACTGGAGAAACTCTGTTTCTGAAAATGCATTCTAATTCTTTAGTGATAATTTAGGCATCTGTGGGTTTATGATGAAAAATAGGTTCCATGTCAAGTCATTTGAGTTTTAAGCCAAGAATTTATAAGCTGCTGCGTTGTTTAATTCAGAATTACAGAATTGTGGAAAAGCCTTGAATCATCCTTTCTTTCTTTTTCTGTTTTAACCCCGAATCAGTAATTGTTTAATCTTTAGAAGGAGGGTTCAATCAGTACTTCTCTATGGGCCTCCAGAATGGCACTCAAAGTGGAAAAGTTGGCCTGTTCTCAAGGTAAAAAGGAGCCTACTGAGGCGGTTGTGTGTGTGTGTGTGTGTGTGTGTGTGTGTGTGTGTGTGTGTGTGTGTGTGTGTGTGTGTGTGTGTGTGTGTGTGTGTGTGTGTGTGTGTGTGTGTGTGTGTGTGTGTGTGTGAGTGTGTGTGTGTGTGTGTGTGTGTGTGTGTGTGCTTGTCCTGTGTGCGCTCATAGCAGAACAAGTGATAATCAGTGTGTTTACATGCAGCCAGTAACCCTTTTAAAACCCGAATATTCTCAATAACCCGGTTCCGCAGGTCCTTGTAAACACCAGGCAGGTGCAGAGGGGGGTGCGGAGGGTGCTTGAGACCCTGCCCCTTTTGTCCGAAGTGCCCAAAGTGCCCTTTTTCCGGTCGTTCGTCAGATTTTACCGTACAAACTGTTATACTGTGAAACAATTGGGCACTAGGACCATGCGGAGGCAGCCGGTTCAAGCTGAAGGCTATTTTCCCTTAGACCCGCCTACAAGCTCACTGATTGGCTGTGCCGCATCATACTAACGTGTGATTGGTTGTCCTTGCTGTCGCTCTACCTTGTAGCCATGGAGACGACAGACCGGTGTTTTCCCTGCGGACAGGAGTCTGCGTTCATCTACCTGTAAGTTTTTTTTCTGCCTGCTTCACGTCAGCTGGATACATTTTAATATCAGAGCTTTTGTTTACGTGCGTTTGAGTCTGTGGTTAGTGTGTGTGGAGCAGAGTCAGGTAGCTGCATGTCCGGGACAGAAAATGAGACATGAGAGAGACTTCTGAAGTGTTGAAGAGACTCACAAAGAATCACGGATGTGTCTCACTATAGATTCTCCGGGTCACAACTTCTGAAATACTTATCGCATAAACATAATTCAAACGGTTTCTAAAAGTACATAAAACGAACTTTCCAACGAGGCATGATGTAATTCATGTTACTCCAAAAATCGCTATTAGATCTCAGCTAACATAGCTGTAAATCACACTGGATAAGTCTCTGTGGTGCATTTATTTTACATTTATTTTACTACCTCTTACTAGAGCTGTTTTTAGTAAGCACAAAATATCTTTGGTTGTACACCTGTGCTGTAGTAATAAAGTATCTTGATTTTTGTTAAATGTACTTCCTGAATGAGTGACCTTTTCAGGCTAAAATAACAAAATGACAAATACAGACAGAAAGACGACTTATTTCTTCTTTTATAATGCGTTGCATCACCACCTGGTATCAGAACAGGACTCAGTATTGGAAGATAATCAAAAATCAAACAACTTGGACTCAGATCAGGGGCAAAAATGTGGTTGTAACATCTCTAGATACAAGTCAGCTTTAAAAACTAAAACTATTATTCATGAACTAACATTAACACTAATGACACTAATTTATATATTTTTATTATGTTGTTTGAACCCAAGGGTCTCATTATCTGAATTTTCTAACTTATTGGATTGCTCTATAAGTGCCCCTGTTTTTACTTTGAGCACCCGCCCCGTCAAAGGTCTCTGCACGGCCCTTGTAAACACTGCCAAAAACCCGGATATGCTCCTAACCGGGTTTTTAAAAACCCGGTTACTACACCTGGGGTAACCCTTTTCTAACCCGAAAGTTTGGTCGCATAAACGCATACCGGGATATCCCCATCAAAGCGTGTGTTCTGCGCATGCTCTGTTCACAAGGAATCTTGGTCTTTTGAGTAGCGAGACGTCTTGTATGTGCCAGAACACCGGAAGTAAACAACAAGTTGGGAGCAACATGGCGAGTCGCGGCACAGCACCACACTTTTGGAGTGACGAGGAAACTAAAGCGCAAAGAAACGCGGTCGCTATCTCTTGCGAACTGGGAAACATGTTGTTGTTTTCACGGATACCAGAACAAGAAGAACCGGAAATGACGCATACTGCGTCTGTACGTAGTCCATACGTCCTGACGCGTCCCCAACGTCCGCATTTAAATCGGGTTATGCAAGTTAGAGGTAACTCTTTCTATTTATGCTTGTAAACGGGTTATTCTGATCAACTCAGAAACCCGAATACCGACCTTAACCCGATCATAACCCGGATATTGGCTGCATGTAAACGTAGTCATAGCTGCTGGAATTCATAATTGTATCCTTCTCAGCAAGAGCACTGCAGGTGCTCACCATGTCCAAAACGTGCCTGAGCCAGGTCCTTAGTCAACTTAAAGTTGCACACATTATTCTGCGAGGTTTCTTTTTTATAAATCCCACAGTTTGCGTGGAAAGTTGCTTACTCAGTTTTCTGACCCCATTTTGTGCGTAAGCAAGCTTTATAAATGAGAACCAATCAGTAAAAAGTTTCCTGCATAAGGAACTCAGCTGATTGCATCAAGTCACTGACTAGTGTGCAATCCTCATTCTAAGCAAGCATGCAGTGACAGTGGAGAGGAAAACTCCCTTTTAACAGGAAGAAACCTCCAGAGGATCCTGGCTCAGTATAAGCAGCCATCCACCACGCCTCAATGGGGATCGAGAAGACAGAGCAGACACACACACACATACACACACACACACACACACACACACACACACACACACACACACACACACACACACACACACACACACACACACAACACAAGTGGTGTTTCTATGGCTCCAGTGCGATTTATTAGTAAATATTCTATTTGGTGAGAGAAAAACTTTATTGTATGTATCCTAGTGAATCTATAATTAAACGGGTAAACTAGTAGTAGCACATCCAATGTCAAAGAAAGTAAAATGTTATCATCAGGAGAGGGAGAATGTTTAAGTGGTTAGCAACAGTGTTCAAGCCGATGGCCCCCTCCATGACTAATGTCAGCAGATTACTCATATGAAACCTACTCTTGTGTAAACATCTGTTTAGACCTGGTATATATTTTGGTTTAATATAGATGTTATTTGCTGCGGGGATATTTTCATTTCTGATCATAATTTCATTCTTTTTAATCTGCCCCTGCCTGAGACAACTCTATGTTTCCACAACTAGTAGCCTGTTGGGTGGATTTGGCCTACAACCAATAGCTGAAGTCGCCCAAATACATTGGCGTTCCACTCATGGGGGCACCAACTTATCAGGCTTATTAAAAAACTCTTTATCAGGTGCTCCACGCACTCAGCACCAGGAGACACCTGAGACCACGTGCAAGAGTTGCTCCTACTTCTATCTATTGTGTCATTTCTTGAACTAGAAATAATTATGCATGCCTTTACTAAGTTTTTTATTTTTATGTCTTGTCTACTGCAATGCACTTTTCACATATCAGAGCAAAACCACTCTCAAGTAATCGCAGGTGGCCCAGAACGCTGCTGCTGTAGGGCTTCTGACTACATCACCAACTAGCAGGTCCCTGAGGTCCAGTGATCAGAACCTAATTATTGTTCTCCATATTTATGTAAAACCTAAAGAAGACTGTCTTTAATGGTCCCCAGACTCTGGAAATGTCTTCTGTTGCACCTGAGACCTGTCACGTACCTGTCACAAGGATGTTTGACAGGTTAAATCTGTGCAGACATGAAGCTTTCCGTCAGCTACCTAAAACTGCTTAAGTGTAGATCATGTTGCAGTACCTTTACTCTCCTGAATATCCTTTATTTACTTCTGCATGCAAATGTTTCCCTTGCGGCAGTGAGGTCTGCCTGAAAGTAAACAGACAATATCACTCATCTACAGTCGAATCCCTGCCAACATCACACAGCATAAAAAGAGAGGTGTGATGAATGCACATCCTCATCTAAAATCAGAGGAGTCTCTACTTCAAGTAGAGTCATCAGCATATTTCCTGATCGACTATCATTTCTGTCACTGACAATAGCAGCAAAAATACGTGCTCCGCTCCGCTGGCTGACGGAGAGCTAGACAACGGGGACCAGTCCAATAGAAATGCCGAGCCTACATGATCGCTGTAGGACAGAAGAGCCGGTCTGAGGGGAACACGGCACAGAAATCACATGAATACACAAACAATGAAATCGTTCAGGTCGACAGATTCTCTCTAAATGTGAGAGAAGCAGGAGGTGCCTCTGTAGGCTACAGTGTGGACAACCCTTTAACAGAAAGCATTCTGCTCACTCATAATGAAGAGGAGAAATACTTCAAAGAAAGAACCCTCCAGGAAAAAAGTGTTTTACAGATTTATGGGGATTTTTCAATTGTCTGCACATAAAACCCATGTCTTATGATGAAGGTTATTTTTGAGCCATCTCCCTCAGCAACAGCTCGTTTTAATGGAACAGTAGCACGATTCTAGCCTGGATTACTGTTCAATTTGATTAATGGGGACTGCGGATGTTGATAAAGGATTGATTTATTTTTCAGTGAGCTTGAAATAATAATCCTCTGCTAAACTTCGTGGCCTGAGGGCCCAAACTTTTAATAACGTTATGAGAGAGATGAGAATAGTGCGTTACTGCAGGCCTGGTGTGGTGCTGCTCACTTGTCCTGGATCTGTTCAAGCATCTGTGTGATGACTCGTTTGTTATAAAAGCCTTCCAGGAATGCAGTCCTTTCTTTTTTTTTTTTGAAGAAAATCTTTATATGTGCTTGCAAATTTTGTGTACCGTTGTTCTTTGTGAACATTGCAGAGTCCTTGTAGAAGATGTGAAACTTGAGGAGAACAAAAAGGTTACAGGTTTTTGCTTTGCTGCAACCAAATGTCAAATTAAGGAAGATTGAGATGAGGAAACACGAGGGAGACTGCGATATAAACAGGCTGAAGTGCCACCGGGGGCTCATAAAAACTGAATGGATGCTGTGCTTTGTGTGAATAATTTAAATCTGCAGGGCAGAGACCCAACAGATGCTGCATTCGTAATGAGCAGGTTTGAGAATGGACATCGCTGCTGATGAGATGAGAAGGAGACGCGTTCAGAGTTATCATTTAAAAAGTCAGTGAAGGTTAGCACAAACGGATTAAAGCTCAGGTGTTTTTAAAAATTGTAAACAAACTGCAAAAGAAAGCAGGGCAGGTTGGAAAAAAAGATGATGATTATTGGGAACCAGCCATGTCTGGGGTTGTTGTGTTGTTACCTGTGTAATTCCAATAGAAAATGTAGGTTTTTGTCCACATTTGATTAAATAATGGTTAAGTACTGAGTAAGTAATGATTCGTTCCTCCTCTTTTCCTTGTCAGGATCCAGCAGGTGGAGCTGTTCCTCTCTTTTCCCAGGTGCTGAGTGGTCCCAGCTGGAGCCAATTACCTTTTCAAGGCAGCAGTATTTAGGAGGAGTGGAACCACCAGACGTATGTCAGTTGATTCCGTTAATGGAGTGCAATCTCTTCCGCGTCTTTGAAAGACCTAAAAAGTTCCTTGTCGGTTCATACATCCAATTTTTCTTCTCCAGGTCTTCACTGTTTGGACGTCCATCTCCCTGGGTGTGGCCACTCCTCTCTCCGCCACTGCAAAAGCTCCCGCACTGGATTCTGCCAAGCCGCTCAGCCCTCCTGTGGAAAGAACACACTACTAAACCACCGCGCAGCTCTCACAACCTTCAATCATCCTGAATACTCACCTCTCCCTCAGTACCGGTCCCTCCGCAGCTCCAGTGAGTTATCAATTCCAATTAATCCTGCTAAATAACTCTCAGTTTGTTTCTACACATACTTACAATACCTACCTTTTCCAGTGATGATCATTTTTGAATCCTTGCTTCCTCTTGGTCTCTCGATTCCTCTGATCCAGAAGAAAATAAACAGTTTTAAGAAAAAGTTGTTTCTGAGTCCAAGTGCTGTGTCTGCTTATCTCTGAATCTTGACAGAATCAGCTGACCATTCTGACTCTGCAGCACAGTTACGCACTGCTCTCACTGCGCAAGGAGCAATGTCGGGTCATCACAAGACATTACAGGATTTAGTGCGTCAGAGTCAGGCTTATCAACAAAACTTTGGCCAAATAACTCATCTGTTAAATGAACTCCACAGTGTTCTACCCGGATCCACTACTCAGAGCAGCTCCGGTGCCACCGCTTCCGCCATGCAGCCACCTCCTTCAGCCATCCGCGACGTAGTCTCTCCTCCTCCAGAACCTTTTTTAGGAGACCTAAGTAAAAGTTATGGATTTCTTCTCCAATGAGCTCTGGCTTTTGAAAGATCACCCACTCAGTTTCAAACAGATGCCAACAAGACTTCCTTTATGGTCGCCCTGCTTAGAGACTGCACTTTACAATGGGCAAACGCCCAATTCTCCCAAACAGATCTTGCTACTGTTACTTTCCATGAATTCAGTACTAAGTTTGAGTTAACCTTCTGCCCTACGATCGGCGAAGAGGAAGCTGCGAAACGTTTATGGAATTTAAAACAAGGAAATAGATCAGTCGCCGACTTAGCAATTGACTCCATTGCAGCCAAATCTGGATGGAACCGCCCATCTCTGAAAGCAGCATTCTTACAGTGCGTCAACGAGAAGTTTACCCTCTCAGGGGTACTTCTGAGTTAAAAAATGCTTATGAAATATGTATGTGGAGTAACCAGGTAGGTAGGTTTTAACGTTGCAAATCTGCAACGCCTGCCTCCAGAGGGTTAATGGATGAGCTTGCTACCCATGATGAACCACATCCTTTGGAGGATTTGATTAAACTGGCTGTAAAACTAGACTCCCGCCTGCAAGAGCGGTCCCGAACCAGACCCCCCCCCCCCACCCCACCCCCCGCCCCCCCACCCCCCGCTCTCAGGTTTCTATGCCTCAGTTCATTCCAGATTCCATAGCAGGGGCTAGTGCTCCCTGTGAAGCGCCCGAATCCATGCATATCGGCAAAGCTTGGCTATCTACGGCTGAACAGCAGCAATGTATGGCAAGCTGTGCATGCCTATATTGTGGAGCCCCGGGACATTTCATCACCACTTGCCCTATTCGCCCAAGAGAGAGAGCCCGTCGGTAAGACTGGGTGTCCTGACGGGTGAATCAACAACTTCTCCCAGATTATTGATCTATGTAACTATCATCATCAAGAATCAGAGTTCATCCATTCATGCTCTCATTGACTCAGGTTCAGAACAAAGTCTCATCTCCTCTACTAGTCCATCAACTTGCAAACTCTGTCGAACCTCTAACTCAAGCTTTCAGTGTATCTGCTCTAGATGATTGTCAACTCACTACCACAACCCACTGGACTGAACCCATAACTCTTATCACCTCTGGAAACCATCATGAGGAGGTACAACATTTTGTGTTTTCCATTACAGAGTCACCTATTGTGTTAGCTTTTACTTGACTGGAGAAACACAACCCTGTCATCAACAGGTCTAGTTGACTCGTTGAATCCTGGAGTTCATGGTTCTGCGTTCTGCTATTCCTTCCACCCAGAAGCTTGAGTCCTCGGTTGCCTCATCGGACCTAACACTGGTCCCCACCGAATATCATTACCTCTCTCCAGTGTTCAGAAAACAGAAGGTTCTCTCTCTTCCACCTCACAGACACTATTACTGTGCCACTGACCTTATCCCTGGCTCACCTCTCCTGGCTGGCAGGTTGTTCAGTCTCTCCAAAAAAGAGAGAGAAGCTATGGAGGAACATGTCAATGAATCTCTTCAAGCAGGACTCATTCGCCCCTCTACATCTCCGGTTGGCGGTGGTTTCTTCTTCGTGGAAAAGAGGGACAAAACACTCTGTCCCTGCATTGACTATCGAGCTCTCAACGATATCACCATAAAAAACAAATACTCGTTACCGCTCATTAACTCTGCCTTTGAGCCCTTGCAGGAAGCTACCATCTTTACTAAACTCATTTCACGCAATGCCCACCATCTGGCAAGAATCCGGGAAGAAGATGAATGGAAAACCGCCTTTAAGACTCACATCGGACACTTCAAATAGCAGGTCATGCCATTCGGTCTTTCAAATGCTCCAGCTGTTTTTCAAGCTCTAGTTAATGATGTCCTCCGTGATTACCTGAATGGTTTTGTCTTAGTCTACATTGATGATATCTTGATCTATTCCAGAGATGCCCAAGAACACAGAACTCACGTACGACTAGTACTTAGCCGATTGTTGGAAAACAGCCTTTTCATCAAAGCAGAAAAATGCGAATTCCACAAGACATCTGATGTTTTTCTTGGTTACATCTTTGAGGCTGGATGCATGAGAGCAGACTCGGAGAAGATAAAAGCAGTTGAGGAGTGGCCCACTCCAGAGACACGTAAGCAGCTCCCATGTTTTCTTGGATTTGGTGACTCCTACAGATGTTTCATCAAGGGTTTCAGTATTGTTGCTGCTCCACTCACCACACTCACTTCTACTAAGTGCACCTTCTCCTAGAAGTCGGATGCCCAAAAGAATTTTGATGTACTCAAACGAAGGTTTGTTCAAGTTCCTGTCCTCACCAAACCTGATCCTGAGGTCCAGTTCGTGCTCGAAGTTGACGCATCCAATACAGGAGTGGGTGCAGTCCTCTCACAACGATCCACATCTGACGGTAAACTGCATCCGTGCGCCTATTTCTCTCAATTTTTCTCACCCACAGAGGGCAGATATGATGCTGGAGACCAAAAATTGTTGTCAATCAAACTTGCTTTGGAGAAGTGGAGAAATTGGGAGGAGGCGACTGAACTACCTATTCTGGTGTTAACGGATCACAAGAACTTGGCTTATCTACTGAAAGCTAAGTGACTCAACCTCAGACAGTTCCTCTGGTCTCTGTTCTTCTCAAGATTCAACCTCAACATAACCTACAGACCTGGTTCAAAAAATGTCAAACCTGATGCCCTCTCTCTTCATTTCTCTCCAGACTCTGAGCCTGAGATTCCTGAATCCATCTTACCACCTACCTGCAGAATCGGCAGCCTCACCTGGGACTTGAAACACAAGATCGAGTCAGCCTCCTGGCTTGAACCCAGTCCTGGGGGTGTTCCCTTTCCAGTCAGGTCACAGGTCATCACCTGTGCCCACTCATCCAAGATTTCTTGTCACCCAGGGGTCAGCAGAACAGTTGCGTACATTTGTCGATACTTTTGGTGGCCTGGATTAAATAAAGATATCAAGGAGTTTGTCTCAGCCTACCACACATGCAACCGAAATAAAAATACTCACAGAACTACTTTTGGCCTTCTCCAGCCCTTGTCTATACCCTCACGACCCTGATCTCATATTGCTTTAGACTTTGTTACCGGCCTTCCTCCTTCTAAGGGTAAAACAGCCATACGTACCATCACTGATAGGTTCTCCAAAGCCTGCCATCTAGTGGTATTGTCCAAGCTACCTTCTGCAGCCCAGACCACCAAGCTCCTGTTTTCTCATGTCTTCAGTCTTCATGGCACTCCTCTTGAAGTTGTGTCAGACAGAGGTCCTCAGTTCTCGTCTCAAGTTTGGAGGGAGTTTTGTCTTTCTTTTGGGGCTAAACCTTGCTTGTCCTCAGGTTTCCATCCGGAATCCAATGGGCAGCGTGAATGGCTCAACCAAGAGGTTGAAGACGCAATTCGATGTGTCTGCTCCTCCAACCCTTATCAGTGGAGTCTTTTCCTAACATGGATCAAATACGCTCATAACACCGATATCGATATTTCCACAGCTACTGGCAAATCCCCTTTTGAATTCTCATTGAGCTACCAACCTTCACCATTGCCCAATACTGCTCCAGATCCAGTTCACCCCTCAGTTTGATCCTACATAAGGTCCTGCAAGAGGGTTTGGGGTCAGACGCAGGGAGCACTTCAGCGCACTTCTGCCCAAAACAAGAAGTACGCTGATCGTCATCAAACACCAGCTTCCGCTTACTCCCTTGGCCAGATGATCTGGCTAGCAGCGAAGATCATTCCTCTCAGGGCTGAGCCCCTTGACCGTTCACCTGCAACTTCCCACATCCCTTCTTGTCCACCCTGTGTTCCACCTCTCCCAGATCCGACCCGTGTCTTCTTGTCCCTTGTGTCCCTTGCCTGGCCCTCCTCCGCCACCTCGGATGGTGGATGGAGGATCTCTGTTCTCTCTGAACCACATCCTGGAGGTCCGTCGTTGAGGCTGAGGCCACCAGTATTTGGTGGATTGGACAGGTTATGGTCCTGATGATCGATCATGGGTTCCTCTGTCCTTTATTCTGGACCCTGAGCTCATCATTGTCTTTGAGAGAAGGTCATTCTCCTCTTTGGGTCGGCCGCCTGGGGCAACCATTGAGGGGGAGGGAGAGTCAGGATCCAGCAGGTGGAGCTGTTCCTCTCTTTTCCCAGGTGCTGAGTGGTCCCAACTGGAGCAAATTACCTCATCAAGGCAGCTGTATTTAGGAGGAGCGAAACCACCAGAAGGATGTCAGCTGATTCCGCTAATGGAGTGCAATTTCTTCCGCGTCTTTGAAAGACCCAGGAATTCCTCGTTGGTTCATACATCCAAGTCCTCCTCTCCAGGTCTTCACTGTTTGGACGTATGTCTCCCCGGGTGTGGCCGCTCCACTCTCCGCCTCTGCAAAAGCTCTAGCACTGGATTCTGCCAAGTCGCTCAGCTCTCCTGTGGAAAGAACACACCACTAAACCACCGCGCAGCTCTCACAACCTTCAACCTGAATACTCACCTTTCCCCAGTACCAGTCCCTCTGCAGCTCCAGTGAGTTATCAATTCTAATGAATCCTGCTAAATAACACTCAGTTCTTTTCTACACATCCTCACCATACCTACCTTTTCC